CATCTCCCACATCTCTTTACCTGACACCCCAGTCCAAAGCCAGCTCCTGAGCCAGGAGGATTAAATACCCACAGAGCTTGTTGGAGCTGGCTCCAGCTACCCTTGCTGCAGAGGGGACAGAGTCTGCCAGGCTTGGATGTGAAGTACCTAATGCCATATGGTTTGAGGCAAGCACCTTGAGAAGCCCCTGGAAGCCCTGGCAGATGCCAGCCAGCAAAAGCACATTACCGCATCTAATGCCAGAGTAGGGAAATCCCACCCAACTCTGCCTTCCCACTGACCTTCCAGGCAGCCTGGAATAACACGGGCAGTGAAGGAGCCAGACACACAGCTCACAGCACCACACCGAGCTCTGTATCAGGATTGCTAGTGAGACACAGAGATTTAAAATGTCAGTTTTGGCCAGTGGTGACAATAGTGGCTAGAGAAATAATTAACACTGATTTCCATACTACAGATAACTCCACAAATGGAAATGAATGTGGCCAAATGGCTCTGGGAATTCAAGATAACTCCAGAAAGCCAGGAAATCCAGCAAGAGTCTGAGCAATTTATTTGTGAAATAATTTGAAGTTACTTTGCATAGTAATAGGCTTCTGAAGCGATGTTGTTAACCATGCAGAACAGCCGCGCGGATTGAGAGCTGCAGCTACAGAGGATTGTGAGGCATCTCTGTGCCCTTTTTAAGCAGATAAAAACCAAGTCACCCCAACTGACCCACCACAAAGTCACTCGAAAGACAGAACTAGCTCACCGGGCACCACCAAAAGAGGCACTGCTTGTTTTCATCAGCCAAAGCAAAGCAGCAAAACCAGTTAGAACTTCTGCAGCACGCGCTCCATTTGCTTGTGTGCCTCTCCAATGTGCAGCATCACTGCAAAGAAATTACTCTTTACAGCACATAAGACCAAATTATCAGCATTTTTCTCCTAAATATTACTTACCTTTTAATAAATACACACAGCTAGTATTTACCTTCCAAATCAAGTCAGACTGACAATGAATTGCTGAGTTAAACATGCTCCTGAAGCTGCTCTCAAAATGCCACTAAACCACTTCTAATTCAGGCATTCATCTGCTTCCCAGAACATGCCGTTTTCCATCGATTTTATGCAGTTGTGTCAGCCTGACATGAGTGAAGTAAACACCACAGTCCCATATCAATACACAGCCTTGAGTACTGTAAGGATTATAGCTGTAACTGCCAGCTCCTCCTAAAGGAATCTCGGGGCAGAAGGACAAGCTGCCCTGACCGGTGAGTTGTTTGAATAGGTTTTGCAGCGAGGGCACGGCTAATCCTTGGCTGACACTCCAGCCTGGAGAGTTTTATGGGGCTTTTTTTATCCGTGATTAATGGACTTGACATCCATGTTCCCACAGCTTCTGCTAAACATGCACTTCAGCCCTTATTGTTAAATACCACCGAGATCACAGAGAACTAAACTCTTATGACAGTGGAACGACTGTGCCAGAGGGCAGACTTTCCTGAGACAAGCATTGCATGTAACACAGAATAATAGGCACTACACAAAGGTTCCTGATCTTGGGCCACTGAGTAACCTGCACCCTTAAAACTAGACTGACCTTTCTGAGTAGAAAATAACTGGGAGGCGAGAGAGATGAAAAGATAACACATCATCCAAAATCATACTGGGAGATCACACACACATATCATGGAATGGCTTTGGGTTGGAAAGGACCTTAAGATTATCCAGTTCCAACCCCTGCCATGAAAGAACACATGATGTGTTTAGCCCATTTGAGTCAGAGGCACATGCAATGAACTTCACCTCTCGTATTTACTCACTAATCGAAACGTGAGAGCAATGTGACTGAAGCGCTGATGGAGATCTCTCTCCTGCAGACCTGCACGTGCAGGTGTGAGCCAAGACACAAGGTTTGGAAGTACATTTTCAACCCTTAAATCCTTAAAAAAGCCCTTAAAAGCAGAAGTTTGAACCCAAATAACCACACGCTCACAGGCAGAAAAGAAGACAACCTCCAGACAGATTAATTTCAACACTTGGTGTGCTACTCACACACAGAATGTTCTGCCTCCTCCATAGAGCTGCTTTCCAGCCTCAGCTTCTATAAAAAGCCTCAATGAGCATTTCCTTATTCCTGGTTCTCTGTCCATTTTGCACAGAAGCCAATAACAAAAACCAACCCCCAAAACCCTTCAAACATGTCAGTCTGAAACAGAAGAGCAATGTCAGTTCGTAAGGGACACTGTTTAAACAGTGAGCTCTGTCTGCACTCTCCTTGTTTCAGTCTGAGAAGTATTTCAAACCTTAATTACTGCAGCCTGCAAGGCTGTGACAGATCTCTCTTGTTCTTAGGGGCATCTTGCCAGGATGAAGCAGGAATTCTTTTAAGATGACCATACTTGATTAGTCCTTTATAGTGCTAACTTTATGGTGCTTGTATGATTCAATAGACTGCTTCTGGCTCTGGCAAGTACATTGGTCTGCTGCAGTCTGGGGGCTTCTAGGGCCAAAGCTATTTTGCATGTGTTGTCACAATTTGGCAGTATGTCTTTGTGTCCCTATAGATTTTGATTGCTAAATGTAAAGTACAAAGAATAGGAAACAGAGATTCCCAAACTGGACAAAAGCCTCAACTTACTCTGAATATTCCTTACCATATCAGCATTATGTTGGTATAGAACTCAGATCTGTATTTACAGCAACAGCTCTGTATAGGAAGAGAAATAATGGAGACAGAAGAGCTGAACTCACTAAGGATGAAAACAAACGCATCGCCCATTTCGACACCAGCCCTAAGCCAGTATTTCACCTAGAGCTGCTATCCAGTACTGCTCTGTTGCATGCTGCTTCTGCTGAGAGAAAACCTCAGGCCCGTATTTCATTGCTGCGGCTGGCTGCCCTGATTTCTGGGTACAGAAGGCATCAGACAGAGCTTGTTTCTTTCCTTTGCTTGTCATTCCAAGCCGCTTCCAAGCCAGATTTCTACCTCTCTTGTTCTTTTGCTAGGCAGATTTTTCAGATGTCAAATAACACAGGTGTAAATATGTATTTCCTTTCCATAGCCTTTTCACTGTCAGGACGTCTTCACATCTCCTGTCCAAACTGAATTTCTTCCCACCCAAACATCAGTTCCCACTAACCCTCCCTTTGCTCAAGTCCTCTCTGGCAATTCTGTAACATCCATAGCTCCTGAGCAATACCCATTGTTTCAGTGAAATGTGCTATATGTGACCTTCTATTTCATTCTGTCATTGTCCTGGGTTCAGCAGTAGCAGTCATTTTTCTCCTTCTTGGTAGCTGGTGCAGTGCAGTGTTTTGACTTTCGGCCTGGGAACAGAGCTGATAACAAGGATGTTTTGGTTTGGCCAAGGACTTTGTGAGCCTCATGCTCTGCCAGGGAGGAGGGGAAGCCGGGAGGAAGCAGACAGGACACCTGACCCAAACTGACCAAAGAGGTATTCCATACCACAGCACGTCATGCCCAGGAGGTAACTGGGAGTTAGCCGGAAGGGCTGGGGGACTGCAGGGTTGGAGGAGGTATCGGTCAGTGCTTGGTCGGGCTGAGGGGGGCAAGTTATCGGTCGGCTGGTGCTGAGGTGTTGTATTCTCTTCCCTTGTTATTTCCTTTATCATTGTTATTATTGGTGGTAGCAGTAGTGATTTGTGTTATACCTTAGTTACTAAACTGTTCTTATCTCAACCCGTGGGAGTTGCATTCTTTTCGATTCTCCTCTCCGTCCCTCCGGGAGCAGGGGGAGGGCAAGAAAGGGGGGGAAGTGAGTGAACGAATTACCTGACTGGGTTTAAACCACAACAGTCATAATGGTCAGCTTACTATAGGAGGCTGTAGGCTCAGGTCCTGGGGACAGTCACCCACACTCTTGCCCTCTTCATTGCCACAGTGCATCTTTTACCACAAAGCTTGAGCTTAGTCCCTTACAGCCTGTACTTCTCACCCATCCCTTCCCCAGCAAGCACATTCCCCTGAGCTGTTGCTGCTCTGTGCTGCTTCAGAAGCACAAGTCTCAGCTCTTACCTGGATTACACTATCCTGGATTTCTGTTCTTCCTCTCAGCATTTCCACCTGCTTAGATAACTTCCTGCAACACAAATCTGACTGCCACTTGTTGAAGTCACTGAAGACTCAAGGACTGTCCCTCACCTGAATTTATATCACGGCTTCATTGCCAGTGAAATCTGAACCAACAAGCTCATCCTTTTGCTGTCAACTCCAGGCTCCTTAAAATCCCAGAGACCTGATGTGGCAATGGGCATGTGCTCCTTGCTAGCATTGTTCAGGTGAGAAACCAGCAGCTGTGTTTGGTACCCACTGAAGCCTCTTCATGGATAAAAGGAACTGTAATAATTCAGAGTGAAAAGGATGATATGTGGGTCATTCTGGCCACACCTTGGCTGCGGGATGTGTCTCCCAACAAGACAGTAAGCACAGATTAGTATGCTGGAGCTGAGTGATAGCCTGTACCAGAACAGCAAGAGCCAGTCAAGCTGCACAGTGAACTGAATACCAAAGTTTATCACAGCCCTTAGATAAACAGGACCTTTGTGCCTTATGCAAAAGGATGGAGGCAGAGGGAATGCTGCCAGGGCTGACTTTACAGGGTATTTCTTCCTTCCAGTTCTTGTGTAGACCTGAATTCCCTGAGAGCTTCCCTGTTCCAGGCTGTACGACCCATGAGCTGTGATAACTGCAGTGGAGAACAGGCCACAACACAGAGCTGTCAACAAAGCTTTTACAGCCTAATCCATGTGCAAGGAGAAGGCACAGCCCGCAGCCCTGCAAAGGGGGAGCAGCCATAGATGCTGCCAAGAAGTGGTGCAAACTATTTACTATTTACTTGTATTTACTCCTGTCCTTCCTTCTCCACTCCCTAAACTCACAGCTCCTTTGCCTGTTTGATCTCAGGGGTCAGTGTTCAGGAAGGAAGAGCAGCTGCCCATCAGCATACCCTCAGTGCTCCCCAAAGGCAAGCTTTCCAGTACTCACTGTGAGTTCCTAGGGACAAGATGACCCTGTGCTCTGCGAAGTTCATGTAAGAAGCCAGGCAGTGTCAGCGTTGTGCCCATGACAAACATCATGCCAGCTATGTTTTGTGACATTGGGTCAATGTCTTTTTGTCCTTTTCATTTCCTTTTCCTCTTCTTCTCCTTCTGCTACGGCCTTGGTCTTTGATATCACAGTGAAAGGAGCACATCACCTTACCCATTCCTGTGAAAATAGAAGTAAACTTATTTAAAATGAAGTAACACTGACTTCATCTGCCTTCCTCTAAGCAGAGAGGGTACACTGTTCATGACACCAAGCCAGGCAGCAGCACCTTGCCTTTAGGGATCAAGTTATGGCTAACAGCACACACAGCATTCAACATGCAGCATTTCCAGTTTTCACTCCAGTTTGCTACGCTGAGCAAGTATTTTTGCATATTATAAGCTTGGTTTTGGTGAACAGAAAGAATCCAGCAAGATCCTGACTACACCTTTTACAGCAGAACAGGTCTGTAACTTCTGCAGCTCACATATTCCTCACCAGGGGACTGTTCCAGCTACTGAGAAAGCACAGTCAGGATGCAAGAATAATATTGTATTGGAAACATAGGAGAAGTCACAGACCAGCAGGAATAACAGTCTTACTTTAGCACTACCTCTTGGACCACATCGGGGCTGTGCCACTGCACTGCCTCCTGCCCACTGTGGGCAGCAGGGAGACCACCATTCAATGGCTTGGCCACCAGCCCATGCAATCCCTCAGCTGCATCTCCTGCACTGCTCCAGCACTGACTCTGCCTGACAGGGGAGATGGCTGATTATAGTGACAGACAGGGTTTCAATCGAGAGAGGAGCTTGTTTTAGCACAGGCCTGTCTACTCCAGTAAATCTCTGCTTTTATCAGCTCTGTGCAACTGACTCATTTAGACCCCATCGGTGGCAGTCCATCTCCTCGCAGCCTCTTGTCAGTGACAGCCCTCAGGTACCTAAGCATGCCAGGCTTGATACAAGTCAAACCCCGCTGTGAACAGAGATTAACCTGCAAAATGATGCAGTGCTCCTTATAAGTGTATTCTAGCCAGGCACAGGAGAACTACAGACTCCATCAGACTCAGTAAACTTTCTTCAGCCTCTGCAGGTCCTGCATCTCATCTGCATTCACTCTAGAAGCCGAATAAAAACAACCAGCGACACAGGCAGCTTGGCTACTGCACAGGAGCCACAGGAGTAAAAAGGTTTCTAAGCAGCCTTTGTGTAACTGAGTAGTTTTTGTCAGAAAACAGTGGAATGGCTTTCAAAAAATCTGCATAGTCATGTAGAAAATGAAATATTCATAGATTTAATATTAAAATATTTTATTAAATTAATATTAATTCACCATTAAATTTTAAAGAGTTTCATATTTCATAAAAAAATCACAGTGAAACCAGCAAGAGGGATTTAAGGCATGAAACCAATTATACAAGACCATTAAGCAATGCCTGGAAAAGCAATCTGAAAAGTCTCCCATGATAAGGATGAATTAAGGGAATTCTGTTTACAAACAGCACTGTTTGTAGAAGTTCTCACTGGAAAGGACATTTGCCCTCGCTCATAAATATTTCATGTACATTACTAGAGCATTAGCAGGCTAGTCTTCTTAAATGTACACATTTAGCCTCTTTTTCCTTTGTTCCCTTTGTATATATACTTTGTGGAACCCAATCTGTTCATTAAATCTGGGTTAGATTTCCTTTTGCCAAAGAAAAAACAACCATAAAATACACCAACAACGGAGAGGAAACCCCCTGAATTCCTTCTGTGATTATTGCATAAAGCTCTCCCAGAAGCTGACTTACAGACTGCTGAAGACAAAAGCTTTGATTGCACTCAATTACCTTCTGACAAAGCAATGGGGAGAACAGCAGAGGTTTTTTCAAGTGGGTCTGTTCAATTTTTGCTACTACTGCTAAATCCAAAAGTTAGCTGCTTCTTGAGGACCCAATTTTCCTCTCCGTAAGTACACCTGTATCTCTTCCTGTCAATGATATTTGTAAGCGTTTATTTTGATAACACCAGATTCATACGCAAAAGATCTTCTTCAGTTATTCCATCTCCTTTATCAGTTCTTCTAAGATGCTGCTTTCTTTTGCCCTCTCTCAAGTATTCTTAGTGCCCAGCAAACCGCAGTCAGAACATTATGGTCAGTTCATTTTGGATGTGAGCTCCCAGTCTATAAAGTTACAATGCAGAATAGCCTTCACTGCTGTACAGCATACCCAGACTTAGATTAATTTTCCAATAACATTAAAATCTTGTTTGTATACCAACAATACTGGCCTAAAACGATGCATGGGGGTTCCTAATTAGATAAAGCCATTGTTTAGAGCCAAACAGTGGCCATTTACAGTTCAATAAACAACTTGTCACAGTTGCTTGGTCAGAGCAGACCTGGATGTCAATGGAAACAGTTAGCACAGAGGTAGCGAAATAAATTGGTCTCCTGGGTAAATAAATTGAGCAGAAATGTGAATATGCCTCATCAGGAAAGCCTGTAATTTATAAAGGCTTTGTAAATAGTGGTTTATATACACTGACATCTAAGGAAATAGAAAACCTTCTCTTACGATTTTAAAAAAGAAAAGTTTAACAATGGTCTTTCATCTGTAAATTTTATACATATCAGTGTGGACAATACAAAATAATGGTAGCACTTGCAACAATATAGGATTTTTGTCAATAAATAAGTACAAATAACTATCCCAGATTATGGCACGCTTACAGTTCCCTTGTTAGCTTTGCCACTGGAGTACCCAAGAGAATCAGGCAGAAGCACGCTGACTGCTGACATGCTTCTAGCCAAGAAGTAATACAATTTCCCAGCTCTACCAGCACCACCAGCACACCTCTACCAGTGAAACCTTCAGTGTGTGCACACAACCCTATGGAAACAGAACTTTTGAGTGTGATACTACTTTAAACATTTCCATTTATTTAGTATTTTTCTTGTGAATAGTCTCAAGAAAGCCATTAATCTTGCGCAAGATCACATATATTTATATAGCCAATGCTTCTTGCTTTTAACTTGACTGGAACTAGCTAAACAGCTAAGAATACAAATGGTGCTGAAGAGTCTGCAAACTCAAAGCTGTTCAAAGAAAGGTTCAGGCTTGATGAATATCTACTATCTTTAAGAAAAAAGTGGTTAAAAACTTGAACTGAAAGAAATCTTTGTCTATGTGCATGCAGATATAGATATACAGATGTGCTGCAGCTGCTCAAACCCACCCAAATCCAGTGCAAAGGTTCTTATTTTAATACTGCACTCATTTGCAAAACACACCCTTCTTTCTGGCCTGTGTCTAAACTGATGAAAAAGTGATGGATTGCATTTTCTGGAACACTTCCCAAACTAATAATAATAATAACTAATGTTATTATTTTCATGGAAACAGTTTGCTTAGCCCTGAATTCATCTTCTATTTTCGCACATTAATCCATGTACATCTATAATAAGAGGGGGTGGGCGGGTGGAGAACAATGGCATTAGTAAAATCCTACATAATTCTGGGGGGAATTAGAGAAACGGAGTCTGTGTTGCTATTTCCTTTATTGTTCATAATGGGTCTTCCTTTGATGCTTCTCGAAAGGAAGAGAAAAATATCTATTAGATTTCAAGTCCAAAGCAATTCACCATGTGAAAACTATTGAACTATTTAAAAGTTACCACTTCAAAATGCACACCATATGTATGCACACCTAAAATGTAATTTTATTGCAATGCTCTTTATAAATTACTTACTGAACCAAAAGGCCTTTTACCACCAACTCCTGATGTAGATTCCAATGCTTCTGAACTCGGTATGCATTACTAACCCAACCACTGGGTGTTTCAGCTCTTTCCAACAGAAAGGTTTCCTGTCGTTTAACTGCTATACTCCTAGTCACCAGCCCAGAGAAACACTGAGTTAATTTACTCCTGTTTCTTCAGAGTTAAATCTAACATTCTCAATTTTTCCCCAAAAAAAGTTGGACTTTAATTCTAATTCAACTCCTTTTATTCTAATTCAGCTAAAATGACATGGGGTAATGGGGTAAAACTGAAACAGGGGAAGTTTAGATTGGATATAAGGAAGAAGTTCTTTACTGTAAGGGTGCTGAGGCACTGGAATGGGTTGCCCAGGAAGGTTGTGAATGCTCCATCCCTGGCGATGATCCAGGCAAGGTTGGACAGAGCCTTGGGTGACATGGTTTAGTGTGAGGTGTCCCTGCCCATGGCAGGGGGGGTTGGAACTAGAGGATCTTAAGGTCCTTTCTAACCCTAACTATTCCATGATTCTATGATTCTAATTACCCAGTTCATTTTACTTGAGAACAGCTAGTTCTATTTTTCTTTCCAAAGTGAATCTCAGAAACCAAGTCAGCTCCAACTAATCACAAGCAGGTTTATTAGAACAGAATAGATATGGGTAATTTCAATGGAAACCTCTGCAGGAAGGGAAAAACTGCACATTACCATGGAATACAAGCGACAAGATCATTACAAGCTCCCTGTGCCTCCCTTAGCATCTGCGGATTGTTCTTCTTCAATTTCTGTGTTCTTTTTAAATTCAAAGACAAATGTCATAGTTTCAGTTCCTCTCTGTCCCTACTATGTTAGAAAATTAACCCTTCACTGTGTCTGAAGGTTGGCTTTAATGACCCTGAGACATAGTGCCCAAGACAACTTCGATCTGTGTTTCTTCACAGCCCTTGATCTGACATGATCACTTCAGGGCCCACATGACCTTACCTGCTCAGAGGCAGACTGTTGCTCCTTGTTTTCCATGTAAATACCTAATGAATTCTCTTTACAAAAGTCCCCTGGATCATTTCTCTAGCTCCCATCCCACTTCATAGTCCTGGGACACAGAAGCAGACATTCCCTATGCAGAAACTGCATAAAGTTTGAAAGTTCGGGACAAAATCACAAGCCATTTTTCCAGAAACAGCCACTTCCCCCCTTTCCCCCACCCCTCCAATACACACGACTCACCAGCACGATGCTGTCTGCATTCAATGAAAGAAACCTCCCTCCAGGAAGGGGTCGAGCTACAGGGCAGGTAAGAACGGAAGAGGAAAAAGCTCGTAGCGGGGGGAACTCGTGAGCATGCAGCCTCTTCTGCAAAGGTGGTCTTCTATACAAGTGCAAAGCAAGACTCTGAGAACCTGCCATCAAGTAACCTCATTCCCAGTTTCTAGTTCTTTCCTCAGGGACATAAATAATGGCGTGACACCAAAAATAACCCCTACTCTTTTCCAAATGAATCCCATCCGTGTTGTTTTCCTTCACTCATTCCACCCTCTCTGGCTTAGGGAACACACAAAACCAGACTTCTCTCTTTAGTATTCCCTGAAAGACCCATCTTTCTCACAGTTGAAAATCATTTTAGCCTGAAATGACATTATCAGCATTACTATACAACTGAAATAGTATGCAAATTGTAACAGTAGGGAGCTTTGTAATGCAGGAGTATTGAAAGTCCTAAAACAAGGCACTGACCACGTTAATCTGGAGTCTCCTCCCCCTACTGAAAGCACACCTTCATGTTCCCTTACCATAGCTTTATTTTAACATAGCAAATAATGGAAAACTCTTTCTTCTTCATTCAGGCTGAATGAAGAATATATATAAATGTTCATATAGATGAACACCAATATAGAGAGAAATTGTCCATGTCATACACTGCCTGAGTGAAGGCACTGTGCCTCTTATCAAAGAGCAGAACCAAGAAATACATCAATAAATAAATAAAGATGTATTATTCTAGACTGTCCTTTGGGTTATTAGGCTAATGTATTCCAGGAGGAAGGGAGGAGGAATAGAGTGCTCTTCCAGTAAGCATGTGGTTGTGCAGGTATTAACTGAATGGGAATACTGTAGCAGAGCTCCAATTTGCAGGAGCCTGCAGCAAGGTTGCATTCACAATAAGGTCAGTGAAAAATGGCAAATACATTAGCAAGTAAGCTACCCCCATAAGTGTATAACATCAGTATTTTGGGGGAATTGAAGCTGCAGTGGTAATCTAGGTTAGCATGTATATAACGACGTCATGTTATGCGCAGTGTCAATCTGCAATGCCAGTTTGATATTCAACCAGGCATGTTATTAAAATGGAAAGTTCTGATTGACACTTCCAAGGAACATTAGTTCTTCCATAAGGAACTCAGACCTCAAAGTTACCCATAAATAGAGTGAAGTTTGCCCACTTCAGTGTCCAGCAGTCCTCCTACACAGGGTGTGAAGCAGTAAGTCATTTTCAGTAGACCAAGGATTGAGACTAATGCATTCTGTCCTTTGCAACACAGAAGTACACGGCACCATAAAGGTATTGACCATCATCAATGGAAAGGTCCATCAATACTTCTGGCTGTGAAGCACATAGCAGCCACTAATAGCTTCACCAAGCTGGCCTACACATCATGAAGTTCAGCAACATGTGGAAGAATAACCTGTAAATGGTCATTTTAGTGCTAGTTTTCACCTGATTTGTAAGCTAGTGGGTGAACCTTGGTCTTACTGAATTCAACCAGACTTGTGTCACCAATTTAAAATGACTGAATATTTCCCACTGCAGAGACCTTGCACGAAACTATATTCAATACAAATGTTCTTAGCTGTAGAAACTGTGCATGATAGCATCCACTAGTCAGTACATAATACAACAAATCATGCTTCACACAATTTCCCATCATTAAAAAGAAGGCTAGACACTTCTTTGAAGAGCTGGGTCTTTCAATACAGTGAGGCAGCATTCCCTATCACACTGCACAAGCACTGACTGGCTACAGGAGTTGAAGACAGACTGTTACCTCCTGCAACCATGACAATTGCAAAGCTGAGAATGGGAGGTAAAAGCAAGTGGAAGTGGTTAAAGGTTTGTCAAAATCTGGCTGGGCTCCACCAAGCTCCTAAGGACTAACTGAGCCAACTCAAGGCTTTCCAGCAGGGAAGGGAAAACCTCTTAAGCAACAAATTCAATGAGAATATCTCTTAAATTTGTTTTTATCAAATATTTTGGGCTAGTTCTTGTCTAAAGCCATCAGCAGATGTCTCCAGTTCCCTCTCTAGGCATTCATAAAAGCAAGATCTTCTTGCGTGATCACAAATACTTCTCTTCCATATGCACACCTTTCCCAAAGGTAAAGAGGTTTGAAATCCAACCATCCCCTGCACACTTCTTGAAGAGTTAAAGAGACATTTACATAACAAAGCACTGACAGAGTACATGAACCAACCCATCAAGCACTGTCAAAAAAAGGCAGTGGTTGGTATGCCTACTTTAAGCAACTAGTATCAGATGCAGCAGAGTGCTCCATCAGTTTCAGCTTTTAGGTATAAAGCAATGCTAAGTAGAAGGTGCAAAATACATGTCTGAAGTTTACAGGTAACATGACTATTCCCAGCTGTGACAAGGAGAAACATTAATACCATCATTTAACAGTCAGAGTTGAAAAGTAGTATTTTTGGTAGTGCATCTGGCTTTGTATCCAGAACAAGTGACAACGGAACTGGGAGGTGGTGTGCACCAGAACACAGATGTCTTTAATCAAAGAGGAAAGTAACCAGCTGCTCAAAGTGCTTTCCACCACTGACCAACAGAACTTCTGTTGTTTTACAGATCCAGCTCCCACCTCATGCAATCACATCAGTTACCTGCATTTGTTGAACCTATTCCACTGAAAGCACAGCTGCCCATTTTGGGGGACAGGGCTTTTCTTCATCCTAACTGGGCTGTCACTGTTACGCATATGACCTGGATCCACCATTATTATATGACCTGGATATGACCATTATGTACATGGACCTTCTATTTAGAAGCCCCTCCAGAGGCTGCCTCCCCACCTCACCTTCAGTTTAACCGCATCCTGTCTCTCACCTATGCTGTGGTGCCCATGCTCATCCAGGTCTGCAACAGCACAGATGGATCTTCCCTGGAGCAGCTTTAACAATGACTGTATAGTCAATAAAAAACAGAAGGTTACAGCACTGCAATAAAGAGTTCTGGTTCTGGAAGCTGTTTTTCAGCGCTCTTGTCACATTCAGGTCTCAGGTTCTGTTGTTTGATCTTGTCTCCATTCATTACACTTCCAGGAATGTGTAAAGCTTTACATGGAGCACGGCTCCATCCTGCCTCAGGACAGAGCAGCACAAACTCCTTTAGCCCCTTTACAGTCCAACTTGAGGCACTGCAAGGGTAGAGGAAAGTTTTACAGGCTTATAATCAGATACTAAGAAATTTGCTCACCAGTGATTAAACAGATGCTTTGTTCTGGAGTGTGCAGATATTTGGGGCTTGATGAAGAGGACCATCTTTACCAGCAAATAAATAATGACCCATTTAATAGCCAAGATGTAACTTTAAGTCACTGTTACTGCAGTTGGAAATTACTGATCATGAGTGTTGATTACCACTGCACTTTCCCAAAAAGCGTTAAGATTAAGAGACATTCAGTGTTCTTCTTCTGGCAGGTACCTCAAAAGGAGACCGTGAGAAGAGACACACAATGAAAAACAGCAGGTTAGACCATATGAGACTCCTTATTAAAAACATAAAATGCCTTTCACTCTGGCTTTTATTAAGTCTACTTTTCAAGCTGCATGAAAGTTAGGTGAGCCCATTATAATACAAGTCACGTCGAACTGTTTCATTATCCACATCCTGCAGCACGATAGCCCACAGAATACCTTTTGAAAGCTCCAGAGTGACGGCAGCAGGTTGAATATAATGAACAGCGTTACAAATGGGGACATGAGACGACAGGTCTGGTGAAGGAGGAGTCTCCTGGAAATCGTATGGCTGTAATTACTGAGGGCTGGTGCTGTCTCAGTTGGCTTTGAACAAAGGTAACTGCCTTCAGCAAGTTATATTTCCTCAGCCAGCTAAAAAGAAAGCAGAGACACAAATATTTATGATACACAATACATAACCAAAGTCATTGTCTGCTTTTATTACCTTATTTCTGTTGGAGCTTTGAAGTCTCCCACATCAACACCACGAGAGAATTAAACAGTAAAGCACTGATTTATTTTTAAATTAGACTTCCAAAGCTAGAAAGGTTGAAGTCATAGGAAGACAAAATGCTCTTATTCTGGGCACTTGGCTTGCACGTCACATTTTTCTTCTCAATAGTTCATTTGGTTTGTTGATGAAGAATCTGTCAAGCAGAAGTCAGAGGGAGATGAGACCTCTGCCTCCTTGCACAGGAGCTCCCCTCAACAAGCACTGAGCAGTGCTAAAGGGAGCACGGAGTGCAGAACACATGGCGCTACAGGAGACAGCAAGACTGAGAAGAAAGCTCAGGCTAATCCGTGTTTTCTCACCTGTGACCTGCTAAATCTCAGAAATGGGCTTACATGGACTTAGCCATACAGCAAAAACTCCTAGGGAAGAGTAGACAAACATGTCATAGTTAGATAAGATGACAGCAAGGAGAGAAAAAATAACTCTGTTGAAGTTATTCCTCTGTTCGTATCTGCACGCCCTAACCACTGCTTCCTTTTCTCTTACCTCTTTTTCCTGAAGAAATCACTAATCCTGAAAATGCATTTCCTAATGCTTGCAATAACCATTAGGTTGTATAAGGGTGAAGATATCCAGAAATATTACATCATTATTCCCCATCTTGATACCTGTCGTGGTTTAACCCCAGCTGGCAAGTAAGTATCACACAGCCACTTGCTCACTGTTTCCAGCACAAACCCAAGTAGCCTCATATTAGCTACTATGAAGAAAATTATCTCAACCAAAACCAGCACAATACCATACTCTTTCATGTTTAATTATCTAAGGGGAAAAAAAAATGACAGAGCAAAAACAGAACAAGTTCAAAGAGGTGCAATAAAAAGTACTACAAGTTTGGAAAAAAAAACAAACCACCTCTTTATAATGAGCAATTAAAAAGGAGAGAAAGTTAACTTGTGAAGAGATGAATAAATGGTAACACAATAGAACATGAAATATAACGAATGGAATGAGAGAGGTCAGCCATGTGCACCTGCCTTCAGTCTCTTCCATTGTATTCCAATGTATTCCAATGTATTCCATTTCCGTCTTGTATCACACAGTGCCTCCCAATGATACAAGGGGCAACACATTTTGAAGTGGACAAAGTGATGTAAAAAATGAGCCTGCAGAAGTTACTGCCATAGCATTTGGGTGGTATCTGGCAAACCCAGTGTCATTGTATCGCCAATTATGGGAAAGCTGGAAGGAAATGCACCAAACTAAGGACTCACAAGAAGGTAAACCCAGAGAGGGGCTCACCCTCTTGATCACCTTCCCCCAAACCTGCAAGTCTTCCATTCTCCATTCAAGCTTTGTTGATGAGAAATTCGCTTGATAAAGGTTTTTTTTATCCTGTATTGCACTCCCTGAAGAGGTGTAACCAAAGCTATAGGCAAGCATGCCTTTGTCAGACCAAGCAGCAAACCTGGGGAGAGGCTAGGACTGTTTTGAGATTTAATGTGATATAATGGCCAACTCCTATCCTAAAAGAGCAGCTGCTGTAGAGTCCTTTTGGGAGACCTGAAATGATGAAAAGCGACTCCTACATTCTAAGGACATGCAAGGTAAGGCAACAGGAGCCCATCTCAACAGCTAAGTGTTTCAAATGGCAAGCAGGACCAGAACTGGACAGATGTTGATGACGTGACTTGTCAGAAGCCAAACATGCGAGTGAGGGTAGAGTTCATAGGAGCAAGAGTGTAACCGTGGAATAAAGCATGACTCTAACCATAGACCACACAAGACAGAAGTTTGTGGATCACTGTGGGCACAGCTGCTGGACTGTGAGTAGCTGTTGGGGAAAAAACAAGTCTCCTATGCCACTAATACATCCTTTCCAAAAAAGTACCAATTCTTTTGCCCTGCCTACCACCCAACCAAAGCACCCAAGGGCCAGAAGAAATAAAACCTTGAAGTAAGGCAAAGGGAGCAGTGACTGTCAGTAAAACCAAACACAAACAGAAAACCAGAGAAAATCAAGTCTAACCATCAGTGCATATTCTCTATTCCTTCCCCAGAGGCTCACATGTTACCATTACTGTAACTGCTGTGCCCTAAAGGCCTCTGCACAACCACAGCTCTAAAGGGCAGCCTTTAACAGATGCCTGCTCTCCATCACACCTATTAACCCATTACCTCCTCGCACTGCTACTTTAAACACTTTCTATTCATAGCATTGAGAATGGGGCATTTCACAAGGAGGGCACAAGCAAGGCAGTCTGAAAATTAACTGTAAACTATGTTCATACTCTTAGTACTACTAGCACTAAATTTCCCACTCAAGTGTTTGGAACTGCCGGTGGCTTAAGATGCTGAAAACCGTGTATGCTCAAGAGCTGGAATTCTGGTTTCCTTTCCCTTCTGACAAGCTGTCAGCATCCTGCAGGTCACAAAAGGTAAATACACCTGAAATATCAACTCTTTCGTTCTTTTAGGGTGTTTTAAGTTCTGAAATGCTCCATCTTAGCTAGTCGGCATAGTGCATTAGGAGCCCAGGAGCTATATGTGATATGGAAAAAAGCACACGGCCCATGTCACAGAGGTGTCTCTATTCCAGCCCTTTCAGAAAAGGCCACATGGCTGCAAGCTGGGTTGCTTGGCCAGATGTGATTTACTCCTAACCTCAGTGTATTAGGAAGATACAACGGGCAAGGACTACCTGGGTCATCAAATCTACCCTCCTGTCATCAGGCAGCCATACCATCTATCTCTATCAACCTCTTGAACCGCATCTGAAAACTAGTTGAGGAGGAGTTGAGGAGGTAAATGAAGGCAAGGTAAGATACTACGATTAAACTGAAAATACTGCACCTGAGAAATGGTTTTAAACTATGCTACTAACAGGACATCTGAATTTGCAACATAAACCTGTGGCTCTGTAGGAGGCTGTTGAGCTCAACTACAGATAAGCTCCAAGGTGTAGTACAGCTTCATTCCACACAGAGAAACACTAGGTGATTCCAATCACTGACTCCTAAATAAAATATTCAAGTAAGTGAAGTGACAAAGAAGACTGAAGATCTTTTTCATTCCGATAACATTATTAACACACACACATACACCCAGTGATGAACATTTGATGGCTTGCTATATATGATACGTGAGTTTGTAGCCTTTTTTCATGAAAGGCATTAAAGGCATTTGCTATGGATTTTTGCTGACTATATTTTATACGACTGCTTTATGTGGAGGCTGAAGAGTTTCTGCCAAATTGGTTCCTAATTGTACCTCATCAAATACAACAAAACCATCTCTCAGTGAAATGATGTCTGCTACCATGCGATTTTCAATGACACAAATCACTTTGTGTCAGGCTTCTGGGAAGTTTGACTGAAAGTAAGAATCCAGTTTCCTGGTCTGGGGCTTCTGGATTTGTCCTGCATGTAAGAAAGCACTGAAAGAGCTTATAAATAAGGAATTCTCAGCCTGCAACATGGTCTTTAGTAAAGTTGAATGCTTTCACAACTGTGTTCATCACAAAAAGAACAGAGTTCAGAGGTGCTGCCTAAACGTGCATTCCTGAACTGTATTACTAGTGGCTGACATTTAAGAGCCCTGGATGACCAAGAGAGATTATTCTTGAAGTAACACCTCCAAATTCACTCAGATAAAAGTTTATGTTCCTGTATTGCTGATCAAAAGCATAGGATGCAATTGGGAATACACAGCACAGTAGATTTGTCCTATGAAAACTCCTACAAGAAAAGCAATTGCAATCCTATTTTGAGCAGATATTTTGGAAGAGGAAAAACAAAGAGCAAAGCATAGGCAATAATTACCAATGTCAGTCCATTCAGACAGTATTATCTTTTATGTGCAGACTGCCTGTAACACTCACAGTAATGACCTGGTAGGCAAGGCAACAAGCAATACCCTTTCCAACTCAGTTCTTAAAGAGTATCCCTTCCTATATGCTACATCACTTACATCGTTCATACTTCTGTTGATATCGTGTTACGCCACCAAGTGTGCTAAAGAATTCAGCATCTGTTACGTATCTTTCCACTATTTAGGGTAAACAGTATGTATTTAGCAAGAACCCTGTCTCTGTTGATTAACCACCCTGTTTCTCTCTTGCTTCCCCATTCTCTTCCACAGAATATCTGCCTGGGCGAAATCTCTGCCTGCACACACACCATATGGCACAATGATATAAATCAGATGAGACTAAGTTAATTGGTTGTATTAGACCCTATGAAACAGATTTTAAGTTCAATTATGAGCCTTTTTTCACCTATGCAGAGCACGGAGGTGTTGCCCAAGCCACGGAGGCCAAGCCAGGCTCTTGCACATGTAAGTTGTTTGCTTTATGAAAATACATCTGTACCACTCAAGTGCGCACACCTAAGAACAGACACGGCCATATCTAGAGCTCAAAAGATACATGAAGGCTCTGCCCAAGCAAAGCAATGAAAACACTGAAAGCAGCAGTCACACTGCAGTAACTTCACTTGCAGAGATGTCAGAACCAGGGTGAGACTGCAAACAAGTGCTTTTCCTGCTGTTTTTTTTTTTTTGAGCCATCTTAGTATCTTGATATGGAGGGACACACACAAGCCCCATGAGCATCACTTGTGATAGTTCTGCTATCTGTTAAGTATACCCCCCTGCCCAATTTCAGTTGAGCATTGCCTGCAATGAAACCCAAGGAACCTGTCACTTGAGTACAGCTTCCCAATCACAACAGTGCTAACAAGGTATTTTGGAAGGGAAGATCAAAGGACAGAGCAAATATGAAGTACTTTCTCAGGCAAAGGGAAAAACAAATCCTAAGGACCCTAATGATACAGTAGAAAACCAATACAATGCTGCTCTTGAGCTTGGACATAAATCAAATGCTGGTGTGCTCCCTGCTGCTTATGTGTGGTGTTGCTCA